TTTTTTTGTGTGTGTGTGTGTGTTTTGTGTGTGTGTGTACTGTATATATATATATATATATATATATATATATATATATACTGTGGTTTTGATTTATATATAAAACAATATTTTATTTATTGTTGGGTATCATATAATGCATTTTCATAATATTCAACTCATATAATCTCTATTCCCACCTCACCACTGACCCAGCTTCATGTTCTATTTTTTCCCTCTTTTTCAAACCCATCAAGTTCTATTTATGTTGACCAAATGCTCTTGGGTATAGGGCCTGCCCTGGAGAGTGATTGACCTACCAAGGATTATACCTTTTAAGACAATAACCAGAAGCTCTCAAAATGCTGTTATCTCCTCAGTTATGGGTGGGACTTCATGTCCACTTCTCCCCACTTCCTGCTGGGGTTTTGTCTTGCTTGAGCTTGCTTTTGTGCAAGTTGTCATTATCCCTGTTAGTTAAGAGGTGTATTTGTTCCTTTGTGTCTGAAAAACACCTTTAGCTTGTAGTCATCTACCACCTCTGCTTCTTATAATCTTTTCATCCTCTCTTAGGAAGCGTTTGGGAGAGGTTTGGTACAGATGTTTCATTAGGGTTGAGCAATCTGCAGTCTCTTGTTTTCTACAGATTCTAGACCAGGAGGTAAATGATTGGGCATGCTGATCGCAGCCCTGAGGTCCTGTGTCACTCACCCTTCGCTTTGTCCCCAGTCACTTCGAACACACAGATGTCTATGAACTGGGTCAGGGGCGTAACCTTCATGACAACTGCACTCCCCTGTAAGCAAAAAGAAACAAGTTTTGTGATACAATGCCTCCACACATATGCTGTTGGTTGCCTTGCTTTCCTGAAAGTTTTAGAAAGGATTTGTGAAAAAGGGTTGCTGAACCCACCAATTACTGTGGGCAACACAGAATTTATGCATATGCTCATTTGTTTCTTCAACCACTCATCTTCCATCCAGTATATTTTGGACACATTTAACCAAGCTCTCAGCTCTACACCAAAGACACAAAAGCAAAAGCTGTAGCTCAGTGGTTAATGGTGCCCACAGTTTGGTAAGACAAAGGGGAAGTAGCTAGATAGTGATGGAGGGCCTATTTTTTTTTAAATTGTGTACATATATGATGATATATACATATATATGTATTTAACTAATTGCTCATATGAACTGAAAAAATATGAATTTTTAAAAATTGTGTACATATATGATGATATATATATATATGTATTTAACTAATTGCTCATATGAACTAATTGCTCATATGAACTGCATAACATAAAATTAAATGTTTTCCAGTGGAATGAAAACCTTGCCCATCAACACATAAACCCTTCGTCAGATGCCAGCTCCTTCAAGAAATTTTTGATTACCTCTTTTGGAAAAGATGTTTTGCCTGCAGATTGCCACTTTTTTTTTTTGGTTTATTCATCTACCTCTCTTTACCTCTCCTCTGCTATCTCTTTTTATTCTGTTTCTCTGCTCCTGTCTTGTTCTTTATCTCCTGTGTGCCTTCTTCCTTGTATATATCTACCCATTCCTTTGCTCTTTTCTTTTCTTCACTGGTCATGTCTGTGTAAAGCTGCATGAGTGGCTTCTAGCAGTCCGCATTGTGTAAGTATCTCCTCCTGTTAGCTGAGTTCATTTTTCTTGGTTTGTCTGTCTATTTCCAAAGTTCAGAATTCTATAATGGTTTTCAGAAGGTTCCTTATGATAACTGCTCAGTGTATTTCTGAAGGTGTGAAGTTTTAAAGTTAAATTAGTTATTTTCTACCAAAGGTATACTTGTAAAATGTTGACAGATGCTTCTCTAAAAATAGATCCTATAAAAAACAAATTTAGGGGATACATTGCTCTCAGTGGAGCAATTCTCCATGGGGATGAGACACACAACTTCCCCCAAACTTTATTTTAAGAAACTTGCATGGCTGGGGCTTGAGCTTAGTGGTAGAGTTCTTGCTTTAAGTTCAATCACTAGCACTCACATTAAAAAAAAAAAAAGAAGACAATGTTGGTGTTCTGACAATGTGCAGAATCACCATTCTCTGAAATCTACCTGGGCAACCAATTTGTTTGGAAACTAACTGGTTAGCCTGCTGCCTAGAAGAGAGTGAGCCTCAGCACTCAATAATATGAGCCCAGTGATTTTGATTAATTTCCTGGCTGTTGATGTTTGAGTGGCTGCATTCCCATCTTTTGGTGAATCATGGCAATTCTATTTGGTCTGAAACTTCTCACAACATGGTGAGGTTTGTGTATTATTCAACATGGAAGATTTAAAGACTTCTCAATTTTACCCTTTAATTTTTCTTGTATTTGATTTTGAATGTCTTTAAAAATTAAAAAAAAAAAGAGAGAACATGGTAGATACTCAGAAGTCACATTCTGGAGTTGAGGACACTGGTAAGGGTCCACATATCAACTCAGGAATCCAGCTAGATTTATTTCAAGCTGACCTCAAGAAAAACAAGGCCCCCTGCTATCCTTGTTTCACTGAAGAGGATATGTATCTCTGAGTCAAAATGCTACCAAGCTCAAGCTATTTGAAATAGGAATTGTCAATTAAGTTTTAATGTATTTACTTGTTGTTTGCATGCATGCACACACATATGGGGGCTTCAGTTATGCCATGGAACACATGTGGAAGTCACATAAACAATCAGTGCTTTTGTTCTACTATGAGACCTTAGGGTATTGAAATCAGATCATCATCGTTGGAGGTAACCATCTATACCACTACACATCTTCTGAATTAATGCTTCTTTACCAACTGTGTATACAAAGCAAAGTCCATATAAACAAGAACAGTAAGGAACAGATTGTGAAACTATCTCTGTACTCCTTGTCTCAAGATGTTTATATTTATCCAGTAAGCCTCCTGCTGTCAACAAGGAACCATGAATGTTATACATTTGACCTTCCATAAAGTATTCTGAGAGAAACAGACAAACCTTTAATTCATGGTGTGTATTAGAATGTAGTATCTTACTCTTTGTGTGGTCAGCACCTTGAAAGTGTTTGACAAATAACCCAGGCTTCATAAATACTGGTCAAAATGAAATGAGACAGAGAGGGTATATGGAGTCAGAGAATGGGTCAGGGTTAGAGTCTGAAATATTCAAAAGAATGTTGAAATACAGATGGAGCAACAGAATAGAGAAATCTACCTTTCCCTTCTCCTGAGCATATGGTAAATCATCAGGATGCCTTCTTTCAGCCAGTAAGGCTTTCTATAAGCCTTCCTCCACCATCCTGCCTGGGGTGGTCCACTGAGTGTGTGTGCTGCATGTGTGATCTAATGAACTGGTTCTTGCAGGAGGAAAGGGAAATTGACTCAAAAGGCTGAAAGCCTTGAATTTGGATAGCAGTAATTTGCCAGTGGGGGAGGGGGACAGGACTTGCTAATGATGTGTTAAAACTCAACAGCCCCTTCATGAAATATTCACCACTTTAAACATGTCTAATATTAAAGATTAAAAGTCCTGGGATTTGTCCTCGAGACTCCCAGAACTGATTTATGATCTGCCAAAAGACACAGACCTTATGATTCATAAAGCGAGAGGTAAAATGGTTAGTCCCAGCAAACGGAAAGGAAGTCAGGCTACAGTGAGCAAGGAGAAAGCTCCTTGGGTTTCTATCTAGCCTACCAGTGATTCTCCAAGAAAGGACACAGTCATTCACCTCTCCCATGTCTTTTTTGATAATATCTGTTCCATTAAAGGGCACTGCTATATTTTTCTCTTTCTTCCTTGTGTGCTTACTGGACAACTTTTCCTTGACTCAGATAGATCATTAAATACTGTCACTCGTTATACAACAAATATGTATTTTGCAAATGAGAAGCAGCCACCCAGGGCTCCCATAGAGCTGCCTAGAGAATAGGAAGTAGGCAGAAGCAAAGCCCACAGGGCTGGATCAGGCAGAAAGACCAGGTTTCCATGCTCATCATCTTTCTGTCTAGTTGTGTGACTAGGGAGGCAGGGATGGTAAGAATCTGCTTTACCTCTTTGGTCTCAGTTTTTTCATCCATACACTGGGAATGAAATGACAGTGGTGTAACTATCTCAGTGCAAATGAAGGTAGAGAAGAGGAGAGGCTGTAGTTTAGGCAGACAGGAGTTGATAATCTATTACTTTCCTCCTCTTTAGCTTTAATTATGATCCCTGGTAGTGACCACATATTCTCTAGGAACACATGTATTTTCTGACATGGACATTAGTTTCTGCAGCTACAAAGCTGAGGTTAGATTAAATATCCATCAATTCTGAACACCAAGATTTAGCCATTTGCATTGTGTTTCCAAATCCTTAACCTCTGCTCTCTGGACAATTTGTTTTAGCCTTGGCTATGACAACTCTTAGTGGTGGGCTGGGTGTCTCTGGCAACATCTCCATCAATGCCATAGCTATTAGCTTTATTGACTCCTCTTTTCTATTTTGCTGATTCATCAAATTCGCCTCTATTTGCAACTAAGCATTTCCATCTTGTCAGATAAAAAGCCTCTGGCAGCTAGAATTAAGTGTTATTAACCCCTTCCCAGGGTAAGTACTTTTCTACATTCTGCCTCTGCATGCCCAGGCTGTCAAGAGTAGCTCTGCTGGGACACACATTAGCATGTTAGCATGCTGATTGTGAATGCCTGAGTTCCCTTACATCTATCATCTCAGCAAAACATTCAACAGACAGTGTCCACCTCTCTTGTTAGGGCTGTATCCCAACACCTGTACACTGTCTCACTCATGGAAGTGTTTAGTAAAGAATTCTTAATATTGAAGAGACATAATGCACAAGTGGATGGTCCATTTTTTGCCAATTTACCACACTGAAGTCTAGTTGTTTCTTTGTTTCTTATTGCAGGGAGTTTTTAATCAGTCACCTTAGATCACAATAAATAGACTAGTAACTGATTCAGGGCAGGTAACTGACTTACTGAATTAATGAACAGAGGGAAGGAAAGAAGGAACTAAGGAAAAAAGGAAGGAAATAAAGAAGGCAGGACAGACTAATGGACATATGAATATAATACTCATCAATTCCAGTTGGTTTTATTTAGAATAATGGTGGGAAAACCTTTCACTCAGGACAGCTGTTTGCCAGCAAAGCAGTCATTTTGAACATGAGCTGAGGAAATGCCCACAATAGAATTCTATTACACATCAGAGGAGAGAGTGCCCTTAAAGATCTTTCAGTTCAAATCTTTCAACTTTCATTTTTCTGAAGAGGAAGCTAAGGTTCAGAAAGTAAAGAGATTTGCCAAATCGCTTGACTAGTCTCTGGGGTAGGCAGGGTTAGAACCAAAGTCATGTGGCTACCAGAACCAGCAAAGCCCTTAGGTGGCTTTGGCAGTATAATTCTTTAGTGGATATTGAAGCCATTTTAAGGAAACTTTTACCATTTTCACTCCTCTGACATTTCTGAGTTTCCTGTAATGAGGATATTACATTTCCAAGCAGGTATTATAAAAAAGGTAAAATGAATTTGAAATATCCTTAAGCACATTAAAAACACACATTTTTGTATGTGGTTAATAATGCAGATCTAAAAAATGTTTAATCTCTTCATTAAAGTGGTTCCCATAAGGGAATTCAATTAAGCAAATTTCCATCATGCTAGTTACTAAACTTGGTATTGTTGGCTACAGATGAGCCATGTTGGCTTTAAAATATTTACTCTTCTTATCTCTTAAATCCTATTTATCCAGTTCTCAATTTTATTTTGCACACATTCTGTCTTCAGAAACTCTTATACAAAAACAGCAGACCCCTGTTGTTTATGAGCAAACCAGACTTATCTTTATCAAAATCACTTCAAAGTGAATAGTGCTTTTCCGTTAATTACATATAGCCAATATGCTGGTCAAGTGGTAGGCTTTGAAAACTCCTTGTTCTTGATTCAGATTCTGCATTTGCTACTAGAATTGGTATAAACAGGTCAAGTTGCTTCTCTCTCTGGGCTTCTCTCTTTACATATAATGAGACTGAGACCAAGTACATGCTGGAAATGTCAAGAGATATACTGTAAGTCCTTAGCACAATCTTAGGCACACTTCTTATTCTGCTGAAACTATTGCATAGCCTTGGGTTTTTTACTGCTCCTAGATGCAAGATGTCTGTTTGAAATCTTGCTTTGGTAGAAGGATAAAGGTACTAAGAACAAAGTATGGCTCTGCAAAGTGAAAGACATTGTGAGGTTTTGTTTTGTTTTTAATCTCTAGACTTTGGGCATGTCAAAACAGACAATTCCCATGGTGCTTCTCCATCTTTCCAGAATACTTGGTGCCATAATCTTCTTTATCTATAGCATCTACTATTGACGGAGATATGCACAGATTCAGAACATGGGCAGAAGGCTGATCTGCAGCCTTGAGGAAGGCACTATATATGTACAGTCTTTTTGCTCAGCCTAGCATTCTGGCTCCCATATTCCCTTCCTGATATCCTCTTATGATTCCATTTTCACTTGCTTCCAGCTCAGTCATCACTTATCATCACAGGCCAGGGATGCTGCTTGCTGTTCACTTTCCTATTCACAGTTTGTGTCCCCATTGCTTGGAAAGACGGCTCCCTGATCTTTTGGAGCATTGAACATGGCATGCTTCCCTTATTATGACTGCAATGGGCTACTATGCCTTTGTGACCTATCCCAGAATCAGGTACAAGATAGAAGATTAGGGGAGGAATGGCATTACTGAGGGCCAGATTGTTTCATAGAGTAATGGAGTATAGCTGACATGTCATTGTATGCTGATTTCTTATACAATGTACAGTGAGCTACAAGGGAGGGAGAGTAAGAGAGACATGGTATTTATTGGTGAGCTTTCCACAGACACTTGAGGAATAGGGTCATTTTGCAGAATGCAGGTGATTTCTTTGTCTATGTATATTATACAAAAAGGTGTATGTCTGTGTGTATGTGTTGATGGATGCATGCAAGCATATATTTATCTTTATGTGTAGGAGCACATACACATAGAATCTAGAAGAAGGCATTGGATGTTTTCCTCTACCACTTATCTACTCCTATGATGCAGGGAGCGTATCTTCCTTATCATGGGGTTCATATTTTCTCACATATGCTGGAATCCTGCAAGTCCCAATGCTCCTGTCTCTGCTCCTTTGGAGGTAGTCTTAAAGATATGACTGGGATGTGTGGATTGTTATATTGGTACTGGGATCTGGACACTAGTGTTCATGATTGTGAAGTAAAGGCTCTTAGTCCCTGAGCCATTTCAGTAGCCCTGAAGCTCTGCCTTAATCCCACTCCCTGAGAAAAATCACACCCTGGATAATGGAAGGATGATTACAAAGGAAGAGAGACCAAGGGTTCAGAGAGTATAAGAAGCAAAAGAAACTTAAGTGGGAATGTGATTATTCAAAGCACTGTTACCATTGCAAGTCACTTTGCCTCTTTTTGCTTTGGTCTTCCCATCTGTAAAGTAAGAAGGCAGAATTCAAGAGTCCCCAAACCACCTTCCAAATATGGTCAAATTTCAGTCCACTTCCACAATCTGGTTTTGTCTCCTAAAGTCAGTATCTGTCCTGTCAATGGATGAATTGAGATAACTAGGGTTTGGGGGAATGTGACCTGGAGGTGGATCATTGAGAAACATGGCTAGCATGAAATACAAAGAAAGTACCATTAAGAACTCTATGCAGGGAGATTTGTTGTTTAGATGTTGCTCAGCCAAATGCCTGTTTCACTTGGGGAAGGCCCCTTACTTCATTAGGACTCAGTTTCTCTATCAATACACTGTCAGTTGACCAGCTTTGAGCAGGTATCTTTGTTATCTGTACTTTCTTTGCAATGTCAACAAGATTCCAGACTTGTTAATTTCAAATGCACTAAAGTCTAAGATATAAATGTGCATTTCAGGTTCTGGCTGTCCATTATCATTCATCAGTAGGCCTCTGAGGAAATTTTAACTATGGGTTGAAAGATTCCACTTGCATGGGTTAGTCAAGTCTAATTGACATTGGCTCTGTCCTTGTGGCAGACCCATGTAGAGTAATCCGGGATGTTGTAGTCTTGACAACAGTTTTGAAAGGATGCAGAGTAGAAAACTGACCACTAGGAAGGATATGAGTTTAATTTGCATATACAAGACATTAAACAGGTTCACAGAACTGTGATCACTGATTTCAAAGTTCCCTCCCTGACTCTTTCTTGTCTTGCTTCCTCCATGTTTCTCAGGGAAGCTGGGATGGATGGAGAGCCAGAAGACTCACCCTGATAAGGCAGAAGAGCACTGGCCTAGGAGCCAAGGCACTCTGAGGCTGGAGCTTTATGTCTTACATGCTGAAAATGTTGTCTAGATTGACCACTGTACTTCTTTTACTGTTTTCCTTTCTTTTTTTACCCTTTTCCCTTCTTTTAAAACAAGTACTCAAGTCCAAACATACAATTATTTGAAGAACATAAAAGTGACTTGGCTGTGATGCTGTGAAGAACAGGGGCCATCCATTGTCTGTCACTTACTACAGAAGGTGAGGGCCCTGGGGGTGACCTCTCCAAATTCTACAGATGTGTTTTGACTGACAACCTTTGTAATAGATGATACAAAAGAAATGCTTTATGAATTTGTGCCATCCTTGCACCAGGACCACGTTAATGTTCTCTGCATTGGTTCAATTTTAGTATATATTCTGCTGAAACAAGGAATAATATTAATTTCATTTATGTGTATATATGTTTGTCAGTGTGTGTGTGCACATTCATACAGTTATCTTTGGATACCAGAAGAGGATGTTGAAACTCCTGGAGCAATGGTCAGTTGTGAGTCTCCTGAATTGGATTCTGGGAACCAAATTCAGGTTGTTTGTGGATACTGTCTTGACTGCTGAGCCATTCCCCCATCACCAAATTGGTACACTTCTAGGCCTCCATTTCCCCATCAGAAAGTGAGCATGCTAAACCAAGTTTATTTATAAGAAGTATTTAGAAAATACAAAAACAATGACTATATGTCTGGGCACATAGACATCCCTAGGTTATTGCAAATGCTGTCACTGTTTCTGCTGCTAGAATGGACAGAATTAAGGGTGCTGTGGTCCAGGTGGTGCTACTGAATTTCCTCCTTGATATGATGACTTTTCATCTCTATGACTATAGCTCCCTTCTTAAACTTCTTGCTGTGGTACATGTCATTCTTTTTCCTCCTCACATTGACCTAGTCTCATCTCTGTCCCAAAGTTAAGACTTTTCTTCTACAATATGGTGTGGTTGTGGTTCTCTTCACAGGTTGTCTGAACCTGGTGGCAGGGGGATAGAGACTGAGAGATGAGTCCACTCAATTTTCTGCCTTCAGGGACTAGGTGGAGCATACATCATAAGTACAATGTATGGTGTGGTTTGAGTTGAAAGTAAAGCGTGTGTAAAGAGCCACTGAACCAAAGAAAGGAACCCAGAGCTGTCCCTCAAGGTCATGGAGTGCTTCTGCAAAAATAGGACTATGTTAGCAATACAGAATGAAAAGTCACACAGAAAAGTCATTATTAACTTCTGAATAGTGTTGGAAGCTCTGCATGTTTGCAGTTAGTTCATGCCACCTTTATGCTACCTTATGAGATAGGTTATAATACTATATTATAGAAAACAATACTGAGCCTAGAATAGGTTAAGTAGCTGCCTTGCTAGAGCTGAAGATACTACAAGACTCCAATGGGCACCTTTAGAATCCAGCAAGCCTGGCTTCAGAGTCTGTGTTGCAATCCCAGGTCATCCTTCCAGAAGCATGGGATTTCCAGACTAAGAGATCAGAGCAAAGGCAGGTCACAACATAAATACTAACTGGGCTACTTTGTTTCCTTAATTCAGTGGGAAAATTGGGTGCTAGCATCACTGGGTCCTTAATCATCTTGGCTTGGTTTTGCCAATATAGGGAGCCAGAACTTGGGAATCTGTCTCTTCAAAAACAGTAACTTTCAAGCGCTGAGTCTAAGAGAAGTGAGCAAAGAGAGGCAGTTTAAAGAAGACAGGCACAGGTTTAGAGGGGAATCTGAATTCTATGGCTTTGTGATTTTGTATAATTACCTGCCTCTGACCCATTTAGATCCTCAACTCCCAAGTTAATCACCCTTGCCCTATTCATCCACTAATGTGAAGAATAGTCAATCAATGCACCATAAATATGGCCTGCAACATCTATAATTATTGTGAGAGACACTGATTATACAAATATCCCTTCCTGATCATGGATTTTAGCCTTGGCCCCTTGATTCTAACTTGGGAAAGAAAAGGACTCCTATTGAGATCGCCAAACCTCTTCACTTTTAACTTGAAGAAACATCTTATGAGAAGGAGCAAATGCTACCCAGAATTTACAGAAGAGGTATGGAATGGAAAGTCCTGAATATTTAACTTGGCCTCAGTTTCCACCATGAGAACCAACATGGTTAGGATTTCAATCCCAATTCACATGAGTATAGAACCAGACATTGCATCACAATAAGAAAGATGAAAGGGCTTAACATCACCTTGGTCATTCACTGTACTTTTACAGGATTTTAAAGGTTACAAATGAGGCAATGTTGTCATCAAAGACATGGGACCCCTGAGATGTTTCTCTGCAAACTGCTTGTTAGCCTCCCTCATGCTACTTCACCTCTCTGAAATTCATCATTCCCCTCCAAAAGATATGAAACATAAGCTCTAGCCTCTGCTGCTCATGAGATTGCTGTGGGGGATAAAATATATACTTAAGCTAGTCAGAAAACATGAAGATTAATAATGCAGTTGTTGCCTACATGAGCATAACTTGAAAAAGCAAAGTGAAATATACAAAGTAAATTAAGGGTAATTATTCATTTTGCAAAAGGTTTGTTCACTCCAGAGGGAGAGAGAGAAAGGAACAGAGATAGAAAATAGAGAAAGAGAAAGGGGGAGCAACAGATGCATTGGTGCATTTCCCCACAAAGTATCAGCTGTCTTACAGACTGTAGAATTATATTGCATTTATACAACTAAAGCTAAAATACTGCTGAATATTAACAGAGTATTTTGTCTGCAAAGGACCATGCCTACACATCAAGTCCATGGCAGTGATGTCTCAGAACATGGCAGTCCAGGGCCTAAGGTGGTTTGAGAAGAATGGGACCCAAGGGTATCTAAGTAGTGCAGGACCTCTGCTATTGTCTAGCCATCACGTGGGGAAATGAAGGAGCTACAGGCAGCTATGCCATGTTTCTACTCTATTGTAGGAGAATCTAAAATGTACCTCTAACACCATTACAGGCAGATGGTCAGAGCAAGGCTGACTTCCCAAAGAAACCAGAGAACTGTCACAGCCAGTCCTCTCCATCTGGAATATTGTGTTTTTTGACATAATATGTTCACTCTGCTGAACTCAAATCCTCACATTTCTAATCTCAGTGCTGATGTTACTGGTGTTTGTCCTAATGTTCTCTCTTACTTATTTTTTATCGAAATTCTGCTCCTCCACTTTCCTTTTAACTCTTACTATCTCAATTTCTGTCATTGCCTTGGTGTACCCTCTGGTATATGCTTCTCTGCCACTGCCTTCCTCTTGGTCTATCTATACATTGTGCATTGTCTACCTTTCTCTATGACTGTCTTATAGTACTTTCAGTGAGAGAAATTTGAGATTAGTGTCACAGAAGCTCATATTAAACACTCAGGGCCACCTTAGTTTCCTTATCCACTAGTAAAGTACAAAAAGTAGTCTACTTCTGGGCTGGTATAAAGATTAATTAAGATACTGTACTTAAGGCTATGTTAGTGAAAAATATAGCTATTTCATGTTTTTTCATTTTCTTTTTTATAATAGTTTTCTATTTAGAAACAATTTTATTTCACATATCAATCCCAGTTCCCTCTTCCTTCCATCCTCCTATGCCTCTTACCAACTCCACCATCCCACCCCTCCATCCTCTCCCAAGGGAGGATGAGGCCTTCCATAGGGGATCGTCAAAGTCTGTCATATCATTTGGGGTAGGGCCTAGGCTGAGAGAGTAGGCCTCCATGAGGAATGGGCTCTCAAATTCTATTTGTGAAGTAGGGATAAATACTGGTTCCACTGTCAGAGCTCCCACAGACTGCCCACACCTCCTAGCTAGCACCCACATTCAGAGGTCTTGGGTCTGTGTGCTCCCACTTGATCAGGCCAGCTGTTTCTGTGGGTTTCTCCAGCCTGATCTTGACCCCTTTGCTCATTCCTCCTCCCTCTCTACAACTGGATTCCAGGAGTTCAGCCCAGTGCTTAGCTGTGGGTCTCTGTTTCTGCTTCCATGAGCTACTGGCTGAAGGCTCTAGGATGGCATTTAAGGTAGCCCTCATTCTCATTATAGGGGAAGGGTATTTAAGGCAGCCTCTCAACTTAGATTCTCAGTTGGTATCATCCTTGTGAATCTCTGGACATTTCCCTAGTGCCAGATTTCTCTTTAAACCTATAATAGCTCCCTCTATTAAGATATCTCTTTCCTTGCTCTCTTCTATTCATCCCCTGACTAAATCTTCCTGATCTCTCCTGTCCTCCTCCCTGATCCTCTTCTCCCCTTCTCTTGGTCCTACCTTGCTCTCCCATCCCCCATGCTCCCGATTTGCTCAGGAGCTCTTGTCACTTTCCCCAGCTACCACATGAGAATCCCATACCTCTGTTCTCTCATATCTTGACACTCGTGTCTTTCTTCTTCCATCCCTCCCTCCTTCCCTCCCTTAATTCACTCAGTGCCCCAACCTTTACCCCCTCTTCCTTTCTACCTATCCCACTCTCTTTGCATCACCCAACTCTCACAAGTCATTCATCACACCACAGTCTCTAGGCCATGCCTTTCCTCCAATAATCTAGTTGTGAAATGCTATAGTTCTTGTTTCTGTGGTACATGTTCTTTCACAAAATATTTTTATGGCACATTTCCTTGTATATGATGTATAATCATGAGTCATTAAAATCAAGCATTGTCTGTCCAAATACCCCTTACTTGGCTTCATGAGAATCTGGTTTTCATGTTTTGCCTATTGATGGTCAAAGAGGGGGTTGTTTCAGGCTGTGGGCTGCCTGCCTGGTGTATCTTATATTAATGATCGCTATGTCCTGTAGTAGACACCTGGTGTGGCCATGTAAATCAAAATCTTGTTCCCTTTGTGTGACATAAACCCAAATCCATTTAGGGAAAGTTTTTAAAGAGGACCATCAACAACATGACAAATAGACAGCTTCTCTCTCTCTCTCTCTCTCTCTCTCTCTCTCTCTCTCTCTCTCTCTTTCTGTCTCTCTGTCTGTCTCTGTCTCTCTTCTGGATCACACTATACAAAAGCAGCAGTTTCCTTTCATTTTTATTGCAATAGAAGGAAAGGGGAGAGGATGGTGTGGAGTAATGGAATCAAGTGGAATCATATGGAACCAAATCCCAAGAAAAGGCTCATGCTACTGCTAAGTGCTGTGTTTTAAACAGCTTCCAGGAGTTCCCTTATGCTCAGAAATCTGTCATTGTGTTTTCCACTCCACCATGATTAGGTCTTTGTGGGTTCATCATTGACAACTCTGGGGAGTCCTTTTTGCACCTAATTTAATAACTTCTATTTGCTTACCGTGTTTATTCACCATAGAATGCACCAAGTACTTTGCATTGATTACAATCATTGCAATAATACACCATAGGTGAACACTTTTTCATTATTAAAAGAGCAGGCAATTGAGGCCTA